ACTCATAGCGACCCCTCCTTGGGTTTCCGAGGCAGTATCACTACGGAAGTAGGATTGCCCAACCTTTCTTCCGAGGAGTGGCTGGTGGCATAGTATAGTGGAAAAAAATGACAACTAAGGAAACGAGTTATATTTCTGGTTCTGATATCAAGAAATGTCATTCAAATTGGTCAAGTTATACAGAAACTGTTCTGTACATATATGATGATACATTTCATGGTAACATTCATTGTTTTTTATGGTCAATAGACTCATCGTCAACCAAGAATATTATACACAAAGAGTTTCTAACTTTAATTTAAAGCCTTATCTATATGAACTCTAAGTAAATTATTTTTGAAATCTAAATAAATTATTATTACATTAACATCTCAACTCACTTTTGGTAGGTGTTGCAAATTCATGACACAGGAGTTCCTAGTTTGTCATAAACTATCTGTCACATCTGTATGGTTATTATGAGAGGCATCCTACCATTTTCTATGTCTCTCAAATATTACACTTAAGTGTGTTCAATACCAAATATAGAAAATGCAATTCCAGATCCTTTTGCAAATAGTGTTCTGGACAACTGTTACTGGCAGATTAGAAGTAACAAATAAATCAAAACCTATTTGTCATCAAAGACTTAATGTATAAAGACACCACCATGAAGATATTTTTTAAGTGTTTTACTCTGTTCCCAAACCTCATTCATTTAATGTCAGCAATCATAAAACTTTCTAAAAATTCACTAGTAAATTATCATCAGGAAAATATTGGAAAAAGAAAAATAGTGAATTTCCAAAGCCTAAGAATTAGAGTCACAGTCTTTTTGAACAGTCAGGACACCTATACATACATAATCATGATTTTTGATAATGATAATGGTCACTATAGGTCAAAATCAACTCTACTGCAGTGTTTTTTTTTTTTTTTTTCTGGTGGTCTATACCTTTTGGGGAGCTCTGGTAGCATAGTGCCTAAGGCACTTGACTGCTAACCAGAAAGCTGGTGGTTCAAACCCACCAGCCACTCCTCAGAAGGAAGATAGGGCAATCTACTTCTGTAGTGATACTGCCTCGGAAACCCAAGGAGGGGTCGCTATGAGTTGGGTTCGACTTGACGGCACATAACAACAACAACAACAGACCTTTTGAGGAAAAAATAAAAAAAGGTGACCAAATTGTCTAAATTCAAGGATTTCTGTGTAAGTTACTAGTAATTTCAGAATTCTATTTTTTTTAATTTGTAATATTATTATTATTTATTTATTTATTTTTGTGAGCACTTACCCTCACACACGGGTTGCAATCCTGACCATGAGCCATTTAACAAACATGTTCTCTCAGCAGAGCCCCTCAACTGGTAACCCATTTCACAGGAAAAACGGAGAAGGCTTTTTGACTTAAATTCATCCCCAAGCCTAGAACCATGTGCTGGGGTGCCTGGATCACCACAATTCCCAGGATTATTTCCTATTGAATACAAACACATACAACAATATATAACTCTGTTAGACTTGCTTAAAACGGCATTGTTATGTTTTAAATTAATGAAAAGTTATTTAAATGTATGTATATAACATGGATTAAGTTTCTATAACCTTCTGAAAATTTTTTAAGTATATTTTTATTGCAGTAAAATATGTATTACAAAAAAATTGCTGTTTTAACAAGTTTAAGTGTACAATTCAGTTACTTTAATCACATACCATACTGTACAACCATCACCTACATCTATTCCCCCCTAAAAATGTTATCAATCCAAATAGAAACCCACTATCCCTCATATAATATCTCCTCATTCTCGGTCTCCCCATCTTCTGGTACCCATCAATAAACTTTTGTCTCTATGTGTTTCTTATTCTAGGTATTTCAAATAATAGAATCATACAGTATTTTTCTGTGGTAGTTATGTTTGTGTGTCAATTTGGCTTGGCCTGGTTGAGTGGCTGGGCAGCTGGTGGTAGTTATTCCCCATGATGAGATTGGCAATCAACTCCATGATAGGATCTACCACAAGAAGCTGAGTGGCTGCCTTTCAGATGTGGTTTGCTTCCTGTATATAAGGAGAAGCTTTGGGAATGGTCTCCAGCCTATGACACACTTGAACCCTGCATATAGTCATGTCATTGCTCAGCAACCTGCTATGCTCTGCCAACCTTGGGACTAACAATGGACTTAAGTTAATGGCCTGCCGTGTGGTTTGGTAACATTAGGACTGTGCCTTTCTGCTTGTCAACTTTGGGCTTGGCAGCCTCAGCAGCCAGCAGCTGTCTGAGTGAAGAAAAGCCTGTGACTTCAGTGGGCCAGGAGTTGGAGGCAGAGCTGAAGCCCAAGGCTGAGGGGCTTTCCCAGCCGCTAAAGCTCAGTACTTAGAACTTGGACTTAAAGCCTCCAAATTGTGAGAATAAACTCCTGTTTGTTAAGGTCATCCCATTTTTAATGTATTCCTGTCAGAGTGGCACTAGGTAACCAGAACATTGTCTTTTTGAATTTGACTTATTTCATTTAGCTTAATGTTTTCAAAGTTCATATAGGCTATAACGTATCAGAATTTGATTTCTCTTTATGGCTGAATACTGCCTTCTGGCACTAGATAAGAAATATTTTCTCTGTTATAGCACAAAATTGGAAAAATTGAAGAAATTGCTTCTGGGTAACTAAAATCAGTATGCTGTAGTGATTTTTGTAAGGTGCCATCAAATCAATTCCAACTCATAGTGACCTTATGTATGACATAATGCAACACTGCCTAGTCCTGAGCCATCTCACTGTTTTTGTTATACTTGAGTACATTGTTGTAGTCTCTGTACAACTCATTGACATCTCAATGTACATCTCATTGACATCTCAGCTTCCTCTTTTTTGTTGACCATCTACTTTGCTAAGCATGATGTCCTTCTCCAGGATCTAAGATGCAGCTAATGATCTCCCATCAGAAGCAAAGAAGAGTACAAAAAACACAGAGCATTTGGAAAAAAATCAGCCCTAGGATGTGATGGACCTCAAGACCAGAAGAACTAGATTGTACCCAGCTACCAATGCCAAGCACTCAGGAAAGGATCAAAACTGGTGATCCTGGATAGAGTGGGAGGAAAAATGTGGAACAAAATCCAAAAACACAATAATGACCAGAATTACTGGTTGAATATAGTCTGGTGCGACCCCCAGTACCGTGGCCCTGGGATACATTTTGGGCCTGGAATAGAACTTACTCCAAGGGGCTGGCTCTCAGCCCAATAGTAAACAAAGTGTACACACAGACCATTCAACCCAGGGTAATGCACCCACATATTCTATGGAAATGCATCCCTTGGAGCAATCGACCACAGGACACCAGAATAGCAACATTCCCATGGAGGAAATGCAGGACACACAGGTGTGCCTAATTATGAAGGGCATGGGGGGCAGGTTACTGTGCAGGGAGCAGAGGAGACTGGGTTAGGGTTGGGGATGGTAAATGGGGAGTGAACCTAAATGTACACGAAATGTTGAATGTAAAACAAACTCTGCTCTGTAAACTAGCACCTAAAGCACAATTAAAAAAAAAAAAAAAATTGTCCGAAGTGTGATACCAAGTCTCACCATCCTTGTTTATAATGAGCATTCTGTCGGTAATTATTCCAATACAGTTCTTTTGGCACTTCCTTGTATTCTCAATATTTGTTGTCAACACTTTAATTCAAATATATCAATTTTTCTCAGCCTTTCTTATTCATTGTCTAGCTTTTGCATGAATATGGGGTGATTAAAAATATGATGGCTTGGGTCAGGTGCATCTTAGTCCTCAAAGTGACATCTTTGCTTTTTAATACTTTAACAAGTTCTTTTGCAGCAGACTTGCCTAATGCAATATGTCATTTGATCTCTTGACTGCTGCTTCCATAGGTGTTTGTGGATCCAAGTGAAATGGATCCACAAAAAGTTTCCAAAATGAAACCCTTGACAGCTTCAATATCTTCTCAAAATATAAAAATAACATTGAAATATAATTATGAGAGTAAAATATACTATTTTGTAAAAAGTAAAGCACTGTGGATGGTGACTATAGGAAGTGTAACTGAAAGGGTAGATATGAGTAGTAAAAGGGAGATAAAGGTTAAGGTGTATTGGGAATATAAAGAAAAAAAAATAATAAGAGATTAGATATTCTCAATTATGTCTGGAGTTGCTGATGAACTTAATTTAATTTTTTTTATGAAGCAGTCTATGGAAGAATTAGTTTTTTTTTTTTTTTTCAAAGTTAATAAATGTAATTCTTTCTATAGAGAGAGCAATATGGAAGAACCAAGAAGAAGCCCAGTAGAGTAATACAGTGCAAATAAGGACAGTCTTTGAAGAAAAGATATAAATAAACTCCCAAGATTCCTTGAACAGAAAACTTACACTGATAGTTGTTTGATGATGATGGAAATGATAATGATCTATATTAATGGTATAAATGGCTATAATAATAAAAATGTCAAATAAATATATAAGTATAAAATATTTTATACAATTGTATAATGCCTCTACCTGTACAGTGGGGTAGTGTTCCACTCCAATGACTATCTTCTTGGCAAACTCTAGTGTTGTTGCCTACAAGACTCCGGCTTCCTTTGCATGAGTAGTAAACTATGGATCCATAAGTAAACAATTCTCCAGTTAGGATAGCATTGGCAGGAACTCCTGGATGTCCACATGATATAGCTTAAGAGGGGAAAATGTGATTAATAGATGAGTACAGGCAGTTCCCAGGTTACAAACATCTTACTTATGTACAAACTGTAGTTATAAATCAACCATTGTAAAGGCAATTATATTAAAACTTTGAGGTACATACAGTGGTTTGTAATAATAAATGGGTACTACTTTGCAATGTGTATCAAAACATTATTATTACCATATTATTATGTTAAAGATGTTTTAACGTTCCTAGAAGAGTACATTAAAGAGTACATCTTTAATGTTTTTATGCATAGAAAGGTACACTGTACTGCATACTAAGACAAATATTTGACTAACATTTGATGTTACATAGAAACCATATGTAACAGTTCTGAGTTAACATACAAATTTGATTTAAAGACAAATTTAGGAATGGAACTTGTTTGTAATCTAGGGAGTGCCTGTACATTATTTCTGTTAAAATGCTTTGCATTGGTGAGTCTCTATATCAATACTCATACACAAATAACCAATGAATGAAAAATAACAAAATACACTGGCATATTCCTATAGTTTCCTCCAGATGAGCAATACCAATTTCCAGAAAAACATATTCATTTCCTGAATAGACCTATATTGCTGAAGATACAGAAAGACTGTCTCCATGAAACTATGCTTGATTGGAAAGTAAATTTGCTTAGGGTAGAAATTTACATTTAAATTTTTAAAGAGAAAGATATACTACCTAAAATTTTTCCATTTACTGTTAACTATATCCCAAATATGCAGTATCATACAAAATTTGAGAAAGTAATTTATGGATTAATTAAAACTATTTCCATTGTTTTTTCAGTTAATATTACAATCTTATACTTTGGTTGGGGTCAAAACTTTGTCAAAGGTGGTTATTCTTTCAATGTATACACCTAGGAAGACCATTGAAACAATTTTTCTTTGAGTAGGTTGTGGATTAATGTTTACATAATAATAGTAATAATAATAAATTACCGGTTAAATTGTCCCTTAAATTATTCTATAAAATAATTTCAATATTCTATTTATTTCATGAAAATTATACTAATTAATTCTACAAACTATTTAGAAAGTATCCCTCAAAAACACAAATTCTGGAAACCATATTAACACAGGATAGTGAAGATTTCTCTCTCTCTTTCCATAATGTCCTAAATTAGGGTTAACAATGGACATATTTCTGTGCTATGTGCAAACCGCTAACTAGACTGAAAGTACCAATGAATTTCTCAAAGGCCACTGGGTTAACGTCCTTGAGTAATTACGTTTGGTTATTGGCAACCCAAAAGTGGTATCAACCAGAGAGGTAGATTTAAAAGGCTGAATAGCCTTCCCGTCCCTTGAGTCACATAAGCCCTTACTGTCTTTTACATTTACATTCATTCCCATCTTGGAGAACCAGATTTTATCTATATATTGCCCTAAAAAGAAGCCAATTAAACTTGAGTCAGTACAATTGTTGCCAAATAGCCATTTCTGGGTGAATGAAAGAAAAAAATCAGTGCAACAATTTAAAAGTAAAAATAGATATGAAGCTTTACTGCTAGAGAGCATGCAAAAGCCGAATACACCTGAGATCTTTCTATTCCCACATACATTGTAATTCTAATTGTTAATGACAACAAGTGGAACTAGCCATCTAGAAAAATGAGAATCAGTTAAAACCCAGTTCCTAGAGATGTGAAACACATTAGCATCTTTGCAAAAACTAATGGAAGACTCGCATAAGTACAGGGAAAATTTAAAAGAAAAGTTTTGAATAAAACAAACAAAAAAACTTAATTTATCTGAAAAATCCCAGATGGGCAGGCATAAAAAACCAGATTTCAGATATAATTTGATGAAAGTTATAATATATTTATTTAAAAATGAATGTTCTTTGTCACATAGGCCTAGCATTAGTTTTTGAGCGTTATATTTTTTTACTCCATGAAAATTAATTGCATTTCTGTAGTTAGAATTTGAGACAAGATTCAAAGTAGATAGGTAAGGGTTATGAAGGCAAGACATTTGCAGGGAAAAAAAAATCCAGTGCTAATCCATTATATTTTAAAAAATATACTGAGCAATGCTAGGATTTCAACAGGAAAACTTATTTTTAAAAAAAAAAATAATTCATAATGGAAATGGCTTTTCCCTCTGTCTTAATGCACATCAAGTATACACTAGGAGATAAGAGTTTGCTTTAAAAAAATCATCTTGTCTCTGTCTAGCTTTAGAAAGACAAAGAGAGTAATACATTCCCCTACATTTTCTGGCTCTATTTTAAAAGTATAATTATTTTTTGAGTTAAAGAATAAATTTTTTTCAAGTCAAAGAGAGTAATATTTTAGCTATTTGAATAAAGAATGGTGTTCTTTTTAATCTTCATGGTATAAAATATGCTGATAATAAAGTTTTGAAGAGGACTGTGCTATTTATAAATTTGTTTGCCCAGATTCCTCTTCCGTTCTTTACTGTATCCTCTCTGATTTAACCATTTGATTCAAAAGGAAGTTATTATCAAGATATCTTTTTTTTTTTTTTTTTTAATCATAGTCACTATTGACTGGCCCATTATTGTCTAGCTCATGATAGCCATATTAGATCACTCAGAGTACCCCAACTTTCTGGCAACAGATGCCAGGTATATGGATGGAAACTCCTTATTAGCTGGGATTCCCTAAACTCTCTGCTGGTATTTCTGAACTTAGGACCAGGGAGAGGGAAGCTGGGAGGTGTTTGATGTTAGATTAACAGCAGTCCAGTTTGAACTGTGTGGAAGACGATGTGCTACATTAAATATGGAGACCAGCAGTAATAATTAGAGACAAAAGAGAGAATGAATCCAAGTGGTGTCCAATAACATGGGTCCACTTGTCTCTGAGGTAAGGCCTCCCCAACTCTCTTCAGATATGGGAGCATTCAGAGCTTACCAGCCTCAAACAAGTTGAGTTGCAGCTGTTTTTCTCTGGCCAATTCATCTGAAGGTATTTCAGTTACTGATACAATTTGTGGTGAGAGGGGTAGACAGAATTGAAAACAATACATTTTTGATACATGAAAAATAGATGTTTTGTTTGTGATGTTGTTCCTGGGCACTGTGGTACAAGAATCCAAAATAATCCATACTTACCCAAACAGTTGGGTAAAGAACGATCCCATAAACCATTTGCCGTACAGGTTAAGGCAGATGATCCCAACAAGTAAAATCCCTTCTTGCAATGATACATGACACTGATTCCATATTCAAAATTCTCAGGGTAATTCTGTTGCCCATGACGAATGGCATTTTCCACAAAGCCTGGATCTGAACAGTTCACCACTGAAAAAAAAAAACATTTTGCATTTCATTTAGATACAGATATTAATTACAAACAAAAAAAAATATCAGAAAAAAGGCAAATTCTTCACTCTCTGATAATGTTCATAAATTGAAAATATTAATATCTGAGGCTTATCATGAAATTCCACTCCACTGATGAACTCTACTTACTCTTTTGTAAGTACTTCAAGTACTTCAAATAATGTCAAGATTACAAATTTATTGGCTACCATTACAATTTTAACAACATGACACTAATTTCCTTTTAAAATTTTTGAAATTTTAAAATTTGAAACTTTACAAAGCAAATTCATTTCCCATACAATACTTCATACACATTTTGTTTCATGGCATTGACTGCAATCCCCACAATGTAATAGGTCTCTTCCTACTTCCTACCTATAGTAACCTCTTCCCTGTGTTCTTTTTACCTATGTATTCCTACCCCCTGAGATATCATCCCGTGTAAATACTGCCCTTCCATTCTCCCATGTTTGATCATTCTAAGGAGTGTGTACCTACCTGGAGTATATGTTCTATTATTTGGCTGGAAGCCATGGGAGTGAGTTCAATTCAAGGTCTGACGGGTAACTAGGGGTGATAGTCTTAAGGCTTTCACCAGGTTCTATCAGACCAGTAAACCTGGTCTTTTATATGCTTTTGAGTTTTGTTGTGTACATTGTTCTCCCAATCTGTCCAGGATCTCCTGAACTGATGCTTTGCTGAGTGGTCAACAGTGGTAACCAGGCACCATCTAGTTCTTCTGGTCTCATGGTCATACAGGCTGTTTTGCATGGTCCACTATTCACTTTGACTAATTATTTCCAACAACGTGATACTAATTTTCCTTTAACCATTTCATAATAGCATGTTTCTTTGATTTGAAGACTAAAATTAATTTCCATGTTTAATTTTTTATTTTATAAAAATTATGAGACTGAAAATAGCATGTTGTTAGAGCTGTCAAGTCAGTTCTGACTAATAGTGACCCTATTTCAACAGAACGAAACATTGCCCAATTCTGTGCCATCCTTACAATCTTTGTTAAACTGGAGCCCATAATTGTAGTCACTGTGTCAATCCATATTGTGGAGGGTCATTCCCTTTTTCACTTTACCCAGCATGAAGTACTTTCCAGGGACTAGTCCTATCTGACAACATGACCAAACTATGCATGATGAAATTTGGTCGTTCTTGCTACTAAAGAGTATTCCAGCTGTACTTCTTCCAATACAGATTTGTTTGTTCTTCTAGAATCCCATGGTATTTTCTATATTCTTCACCAATACCACAATTCAAAGGCATGAACTCCTTATTCACTGTCCAGCTTTCACATACATAAGAGACAAATGAAAATATCATTTCTTGAGCAAGGCATCCCTAAGTGATCAATGTTATTGACATCTTTGCTGTTTAACCCTTTAAAGAGTTCTTTTGCAGCAAACTTGCCCAGTGCTAAATATGTTGCCTGATTTACTGACTGTTGCTTCCATGAAATCTCTGACAACTTCAATTTTTTCTCCATTTATTGTGATACTTCTTACTGGTCCAGTTGTAGGATTTTAATTTTCTTTAAGTTGAGGTGAAATACGTACTGAAGGATGCAGTTTTTGATCTTCATCAGTAAGTGCTTCAAGTCTTCTTCACTTTCAGAAAGCAAGGTTGTGACATCTGCAAATCACAGGTTGTTAACAAGTGTTCCTCCAATCCTGATGCCTCATTCTTCTTCCTATACTCCAGCTTCTCAGATTTTTTGCTCAGCACCCAGATTGAATAAGTAAGGTAAAAGGATATAACCTTGATGCACAACTTTCCTGATTTTAAGCCAATAGAATATCCCCTTGCTCTGTTGCAATGACTACCTGTTGGTCTATGTACAGGCAGCTTAGTTGTAACATTTTTTATTCATGTAATATTTTATGGCTGGTAAGCACAGTAATATTTTAGTACAGTAACACAGTAGTTAATTATCCTTTTCATTCCACAAGTATTAATGCTTCAATATGCGGGTCTAAATGAATTTGTGTTACATGGCCGATGCAAGTAAAAATCACAATTATTCTATGGACACTTAATAGAAATGTAGATCAAGCCAGTCTCTAGTTAAAACCCCTCCCCTTTTAGAAACAGTCCCACAGTGAGACAGTCTGCTGAGGCGTGCAGGACATGCTCTGGTTAATCTGAATGGCACTCTATTAGTCTGAATGCCTGTTGGCATCTGTGAGGGAATTAGCAATGTGCTCTTCCAGGTGCTGAGGAAAAGAAAAAGCCCCTGATTATCTCATGCTTTGACCCACCACAGCAGTGAATGAGATAGCTGATATGGAGGCTGTACTCTCTCCAGATATTTCTGGCACAGAAAAGGGTTACACACTGAATTCTCAGGCAGCCACTGAAACTCTTGGGTCCCAAAGGCTGAATGAAGGCAAGTTCCTTACCCAATCTGAGGATTTGATTTCTTCTCTATAATAATAGGAAGGCATAGGGTAAAGGATTTTATAGGTCCCTTTTAATACTGTAGAATAATATCCTATGTTTTATAAAGCAACCCTGAGTTTATAAAAGAAAGTCTCGAGTTATTTTGAGTCTACACACACATTTATGGAATACTGGCAGACATTTTTCAACACTCCATATAGTGAACTGCAGCCACAATAAAATTGTAACCAAACCCTCTGAAATAGCAGGAATTATCTACTGAGTGAAAAATCTAATAAATTTAAGAGATTATTTATATAACCTGCAAAATAGCTGCATAGGCCCATTCTCACACATGGCGATGCAAGTCAAGCACCGGAAACTAACATCCAGCTCTCCTGCGCTGTACTTTCATGAGGAGCAAGGATTTCCTTTGACCCAAATGCTAAGGAAATCTTAGTGTTCATATTTGTGATTATGTTCCTCTTAAGAGATAGTCCAAAAATAAAATCTTAAACACTTTTATGGTCAGAGTTAGAGAGAGCCACTAATGCAATGAGGAATTTCTCTACTATGAAGGCTTATTGTTGTTGTCGTTGTTGTTATGTGCCGTCGAGTCGGCCCCGACTCATAGCGACCCCTCCTTGGGTTTCCGAGGCAGTATCACTACAGAAGTAGATTGCCCAACCTTCCTTCCGAGAAGTGGCTGGTGGGTTTGAACCACCAGCCTTCTGGTTAGCAGGCAAGTGTCTTAGCCACTATGCTACCAGAGATATTAAATGGCCCACAGGACTCAGCATGTACAAAACTGAGCTTCATTTTTTTGTCCCAGCTTTCATTATATAGCTTAAATGTATGATAAGAAATAGGAAATATGCAAAGGAATTACTGGTATGGGTTTGAAGCTCAAATTAAAGATCAGGATGGAAATTTTTAAAAAAGAAGGGAAGGGAGAAAGAACATTGACATAGAAGCAGTTATTGTTGAATTTAACCATGAGATCCAACTATAGCCCTATCCTTGCAGTCTGAGAAATGGAAAGTCTTCTATATCCCACCAATACTCCAGAATACTGATTTAGAATACATGAGTTTTATATTGAATGACTCTGAAATAAAGGACAAGAATTTCCTTGATTATTCCTCTTGCCTATGGTGAAAGGCACACAGGAAGGAAAAATGCCCATATTAATGACAATTATTTTTGAACTTTAGATTACATTACAATTACCAGCAAAGTGTATTAAAATTGTTAATTCCAGTCTCCTCCACACTTTTTTTTCACTTAGTTCATGACCCTTAAAATATTACATAGACAAAAAACAAACTTACTGCCCTGGAATTGTTTTCTGACTCGAAGCGACCCCTCCTTGAGTTTCAGAGGCAGTATCTCTATGGAAATAGATTGCCCAGTCTTCCTTCCAAAGAGTGGCTGGTGAGTTGATCCGCCAACCTTCTGGTTAGCAGTCAAATACCTTAGGCACTATGCCATCAGAGCTCCCCTTAAAATATTAAGTGATAAAAAATGCTTGACGATGATAATTCCATAAGCTCCTAATGAAAAACTAAATTCATCCTTAAATTGGAATAAGTTCACAAATACTCTAAATCTGCTAATGCATTTTCTAATATGATATAAAATACAATCAGAAATATCATATATTTATAGTTCTTTCTATTCATTTCTGAGACTCCATTGAAAGAATGAACTGTATCTATCTGCTGGGAAAATAATTAGAGGAGGAATAATTTGATTTGCTCGGAGATGACAGAGAAAAACTTCGAAAAATTTCATAGCATTGTGGCAAATGGGTATGTTTTGCCATATGGAGAGGAGATTACCTGCCAGAATAGTTAATTAGGGTCTAAATACAACCAACAGCTTTTCAGTCTGTATTCCTTCTCCAGTTTTGTGCATGATTCATATGGTAGACTGAGGCTTATATGATTGACAAATTTCAATTGCCAATATGCAAAGTGTATGAAGAGTTAAATTCCTTATACGGTCTTTAAAGCAAATGAAATGATCAGTGAAGCTAATGACTGTGAATACCTATCAGACCAAGTCAGAAAATGCTGAAAATGCTTTTCAAACTTGGTTTAGGATATGATGTTAAGTACAAGATAATGTATCAGAGATAAATTGATAGGAGGCTCAGTTTGAAGCTCTATAACTCATTTTAACATCTCATCTTTCATTGCTCCAAGTCATTGACTTGATTGCCATGTGTTATCATTTGACTTTAAACTGAATTTTATCAGTAGGAGAAAATTAAAAATATTGGTATCATATGTATTTGGTGGAGTGTGGAGAAGTCCAAGTGGGAACACCAAATATGTTACAAAGGTTACATTTGTGTATTTGTGAAGGATAATGGAAGAAATTAATATAATTATTGGTAATATGCTCAAAGTCACAAAGATAGTTACACTGCAACTGTGTGAGGAACTTGGGCTTCTTCTCATTATAACTTATTCATAAAAATATAAATTTCTTGGTGATATTAATTCCCCCATAAAAAAAATCCATTTTTCAGAGAGTACTAGCTAGAAATTTTAGCTTTCAGTAATATTTGTAGGTTA